TATTTTGGGGAATCGTCTCCCAACAAGATGCTTTCCCGTCCACTAAAATGTTAACTACTCCAAGTCTATGGTTAACTTTTATTTTTATCACATAATCGCATAAGCTGTGGCTATTACCTGTTACTCTTAAGGTTTACTCAACAACTACATTCAGTAACCGTCTACTTTGAATTAGTCCTTTTATAGTGTGAAACTTATTAATAAAAATTATGTTCTTATTAGAAAAATATGTTATTCCTTTTCATTCCGGATATATAAGAACTGTCATGAGCTGTAATACAGTGACAAAAGCCGACGAAGAGGCAGCCACGACGAGTGCTGCCTATTACCGCTGCAGTCCCAGTGACCGCGACGACACCTGTTATGACAATCTCCAACAGAAAGAAACTAGAGGCCTTTCGTTTTATGTTTTTTGTCATTGGTCGCGGTACGGGATTAGAGGCATTCAGCCGTTAACACGGTAAAGAAGCGTGGAATCCTTGCTCCAGTTCCGCGGCTTTCCAGGTACTGGTCGTGAGCAACGGCCGACTTAACACATGTGTCGATTGGTAGGGTAACACTAACCTATCTCACGACCAGCACAACTTTATTGTCAATGGCGGGACAATCCAACGCTTGGCGGATTCTGCTTCGCAATAAGAGGAAGTGGCAACATGGAAATGCCAAAATGCAATGCCGCTGCGAATGCTTAGCCGCCACAAACCAGTTATCAGTGTTCTAACTTTTCTGGCAGCTCTCAGCAGAATGGAGCTTAGGCATTGAAAGGATCAAGGGGCCATACTTTCGCTGTCCGGATTCGTACTGAAAATTGAGATCGAGCGCGATTTTGGCCATTTGCTCTACATTAGACGTATTTGTTTCTTTATTTAGCGGCATATAAACAACTTATGCGTTATTTAAAACCGAAATCTTATTTTTCTTGTGAACATCAATGGAACTTCTTGGCGTAAGTGAATTCATATATATATATATATATATATATATATATATATACAAATACATGAATTATTCACACAAAAACTAATGCAAAGGTTAATGATTTAAATGGCGAGACATCCATCATCGCAAACAATTCAAATAATATACAAAAACCTCCGAATCCGTTATGAATGAAATGATCCTTTATATAAATTTCTGCCGTATTAGTTCTTATTTTTACTACAAGCTTTCGTCTGTTCCTACAGACATCTTCAGGTATATAATAGATGTTGTTCTTGTTTTTTCTCTTAGTAATAAGAGGACAACGAAAATATATGTATTGTTGTATCCGAAAATGCTACTGAAAATGAGTTATTGTTTTTGGAGCGCGCAGAAGCAACGCTGAGTTTGATTTAAAATTTTTAAAGGTTGTGCGTTCATATAAAATATGGTGATGAAAAAATATATATATATACATGTATGTGTGTGTGTGTGTGTATTTAGGCAGCAAATTCTCTTTTAGGCGTGTCTGATTGAATAAAATAAAAAACATTATGTCAGCTTATTTTTATCAGAATCCTTTCATATTCACGATTTTCCGTATATCACAATTTAATATCGCCAGAGATGCACTGTAACAGTGAAAATCAATTTTATTTCCCAAGTACTTTCCATCGCTTTCTTTGGTCATAATCAGGGGTGCAACTAATAAGACAAAAACTATTGTAGCTATCATTTTCCGAATATTTTATTTTGCGTTTAAATGCTACGGCTGACAGTTATGCTTTAGCGTTCATTAGAACATGAATAAATATCCATTATGGAATATTTTTCTTTTATATATATATATATATATATATATATATATATATATATATATATATATATATAATATTATATATTATACAAAATACAATACAACCAGTTTAATTATTCGCAATAACACCTCCTCACCAACTGGTCTATTACATAAAACCAAAAATATATCAATTCAAATGGGAGAATGTATCTCCGACAGAAAAAACAAATATATATTGGACATACGACAACTACATTGTAAAGACGCCTTATTCAACACATATCTGACCATTCGCCCATACGGAACATTTTCGCCAGCATTCCTGTTCACATTCACAACTATCCTACAGCACGAAAATGAAAAATTAAAACTACAGATCCTCGAAGCAATCTTCATTGAAGCCAATACTGAAAAGAATCAGCTACGAATACTGTAACAATGTTCTAAAATGCCTATAAAAGGACAGCTTTCATGCTTAATGCACGCTTGGCCATAACATTCAAACTTAAAAGAACAATTTAACAATGGATAACTATTCGCCTTCAAATGAACACTAAAGCATAATTGTCAGCCATAGCATTTACACGCAAACGGAAAAAACATCAGTAATGGATAGATACACATAGGTTTTTCCTTACCAACTACACCGTAATGATGACCTCAGAAAGTGATGTAAAGTAATAAATGTTATTCTCACTTTTACAGTTCATTTCTTGTCTCATTTAATTGTAATACACGGAAAAATATGAACATGAAATGTGAACATTGCTGCCGGATTTAGTTTATCTTCATACCCAGGACAAACGTTCGACATAAGTGTAACCCCAGAGAAACACCCCACTCCTGACGGACGCCAGGTAAGCGTCTAACACGGGTGCAGTTGGGGCGCACTACAAAACACAACCAAAATATTATAAAATTTATGAATGAAGGGAACATATCATTAGAAATTGCCCGATTTCGTCATGGATTATACTACAATAACAACATAAAAACAATGAGAAGATAAAAACAAGAAAGATAACACTGACATTAAGTATATCAAATATAAAAGATTTAAGAAAATTTAATATATCAATAATTTAAAAAGTTGAATATTTCGCTAAGAAAATATCAACTGCTCGCATGCTAAACGCAGACACAAAGTGATTTTCCAAGCGTAGATGTGGCACAACGTCGAAAGTATTAGACACTCAGCGAGGATCGAACTCACTGAGTAGCAATTGTTTTAGTGAGACAAGCTTGCTAAGCGTTACACCGCCTTGAGGTGCCGAAACGCGGACACACAGAAGCAATACATTAAAGACTATGGCTGCAGCCGTGAAGGCAGCTGGTGTCTTCAAATAACAATCAAATATTTAAACGTATATACAGTATTTACATTAGTCAGACTATTGTCCTCATCTTTGTCGCCATATTTGTCACAACGTTTCGGCCGTTGTACGCTCCGGCCTTCTTCAGGTGGTTGGAATTTCGAACTGAACCCTTTATTTCGATCACTGGGGTAGACTGTTCTAGCTCCACGTGCCATGTTTGATGGATGTCAGTTATCAGTTATCTCCTGCTAATTTTCCCTCTGAAAGTTCTCCACTGCCTTAACCGGGTATTGAACTCACCTTCTTTCGGTCTGTCACTGAATCTAACCAACGCCTTTATCCACTGTGCCATGTGTCCTTGAGGACACATGGCACAGTCTACCCCAGTGATCGAAATAAAGGGTTCAGTTCGAAATTCCAACCAGTTGAAGAAGGCCGGAGCGTACAACGGCCGAAACGTTGTGACAAATATGGCGACAAAGATGAGGACAATAGTCCGACTAATGTAAATACTGTACATAATACCGCATCTCAGAAATATTGACAGGCTTTACACGTATATGTTGAGCGAAAAAGTACATGAAAACTGAATGGTAATTTTAGGGAAGAATATATAGCAACATTGGGAGAAACTCATGCCTGGTGTAGATTATAGGTCATTCAATGAAATACTCAAACATCATTACTTTTCTTACATTACCAGTGACAAGGTTGATAAAAACACTTTCGACATAGGAGTCAAAACTGCAGGCCTGTCACTTTCACACTATAACGGATCATCAAACGAAATGTTTTCACATTCAATATTACTGGTACTGAACAATCGCCCTCATACATTTAATGGACTAATGTACAAAGCGATTATCTCAGTTAGATATGAGATATTTTACAGATGGTTTAATGGTTCCTCAAGTATCACGGGACTGCTCGTTGGATGGATAGCGACATGTGGTTTGCTTCCCGACTGAGACAGATATGACAACTAGTGTCTATTCCTCGAAGAAGAGAACAAGAAGGCATTTCAAATATATCATCAGGAATGCATCGTGTCATTCCAGGAGAGTTTTATAAGTATGAACTTCTTTTGGCACTATTTACATGACCCCGTGTATAAAAACGTTGCTTGGGTGATCCTAAAAGTGACTTGACACAAAGTATTGTGAGTTGAATTCCTAACAACAGCAGAGGGAACAAAAACTTCACAGTTGTGTTCTCAAGGGGAATTAGCTGAAACAGAGATATCTAAAGGCATGGTACATGAAATTAATTAAATCTGCCCCAGTCAACTAAATAAAGGTCTTGGTTTAAAATTCTAACAAATAACATCTGAAGAAGGGCAGAGTGTACAGCAGCCGAAACGTTAGGAATACAGTTATAAAGAAAAGCAGTACAGTCGCGACAATGTAGATAGTGTAAATAGTTAAAATACTTCATTTCAGAAATATCGACAGACGGACTTCTTTGTATTTGCCCCTTCACATATGACCGTTAATTTGTTATAATTTATCTATTGTAACAAATATATATATATATATATATATATATATATATATTCTTTTTGAATTTGTAGGTCTGATGAATTGGATCGTGATTACGATTCCAATGTAATAACTTATAACCATGGAATATTAGTGTTTGAGCCTTATATATATATATATATATATATATATATATATGGTGGGTGATTGTTTTTTATCTTTTTCTACAGCACATAAGCCTTTTGCAGCTTATTTAAAGGATGAAATAATTTTAGATTGTAGGAAATTTAGCTAGATAATAAGGATATACTGTTGCTAAGAGTCATACTAATTACGTCATAGCTTGTGGAGAAGAGGTGGATTAATGTCTTTCACAAGGCTACTTTGGCCTAAGTGAATATAAGGAACTCATGAAGAATTCGAATCAGGCTCTGTGATTTTCAATTCCGAGCGGTCATTCATTACACCACAAGCACATCCAACCTTACCGCTGCTGTTATTCCTAAGCGGTCACCGATCTAGGTACTGAACGGGCCCGACGTTGATTCATTTCGCTGATCGTACGAGAACCGTGGTTTCAACGTGATATAGTCGTAAACATTTGTTGCTTATGTGTGCGAGTGTGTGCGTCTGTGCGCGCGCATTGCATTTCCATATGAGATATTTGTATACATCAGTGTTTCATATAAAATATTTCTAATGTATATCACCCTTTTTGAATTAGTATTCACTTCCAACGTTCTTGAGTGTTTGCAGATTAACTATCTACGTATTCCTATAGAGTAATGTGTAGAATGGATAAAAAGGATATTTATTCTCCTTCCAAGAACCCCATTAAAAGCTTATTTTATCTATCTATCTATCTATCTATCTATCTATCTATCTATATATATATATATATATATATATATATATATATATATATATATATATATACACTATAATGGTAGGATAAGGGACAAAATGAAAACGTTTATGAATTTAATATGTTTCACTTTTATAAAGCTTTATCAAAAAATAAAATAAGGAAGAATAAAGAACATTCTGGGATTGTTACTTCTGTGTTGTTTTTTTCATTGATTAAGAATAACTCACGTGTATCTGTCTTGCCAAGCCTCGTTCCTGCGTATAATCTTATAATACATATCTTAGATTCTTTAAGTATGAATTTTATAATACTTTCTAATATAATGAGATATCTTTACCTACAACCAGCACCTGTGTAATTAAAATACTTGCTTTTCTCTCTCTCTCTCGCTAGCTTTCTTTTCCTCTCTCACACACACAGAAAACATCCCTCCAATCAGCATACCGACAATATACCAGATACAGATGAAAATGAAAATGCCGACTAGACTCTCAAAGGAACACACCGACACACAGATATAAACATTATCAACCGAATCCTGTCTAAACTAAATAGAATGGTGATATACATACAAGCATGAATTATACACACTGACATGAGGTTCGCCTAAACCAAACTAGAATGTTCTTTCTCCTTCTATATTTCATTTACTGATGAATCTTATATAAAATCGAGGCATGTTATATTTGTAAAAAACTTCCTATTTGTTCCTTAACTTGTCATTCTATTGCATTCTAATCTATAGTTTATCTACGATTACGTAAATTACAGAGTGAGCTGTGATAAGCAAAATACTAGTTATTGAGAAGGTTAGGATTAAATTAAGAGCTCGAAAAATTTCAGTATGAATTCCCTAGATGAGAAGATTACATTACTTACATTATTTACACTCAGACTGACGCATTCCTCTCGATTGTTGCTATTATTACACCAAAGATGAGAATATTAATCCGAATATAAATAATGCAACTAGCGTAAAGAAAGTAATGGTGTAGGTTGATTAATACGAAAATGCGTCTAGAATTAATTCATCACCTGTCTTAATCGATAGTGTCGTTTATATTGACTTTCAGGTGCAGCAAACAGGGCAATTCGATACCTCACGTTGGCATCTTGACAACCTAAATCAACCTTAATGAGTCCTGTAACCAGAAATACCAAACATTCATTTTCACATCGCATTGTTACGGCTGTTAAAATAAAACTAAAATGCTTTTGTTTATTTTTTTTTTTATTAATCACTTCACCCCAAGCAAACCGAAAAATGCCACTGGGATGCAAGGGTCTACTGGGAGTGAAATAAAATGCCAAGACTTTAGTTGAGGCGGGGGGGGGGCAATTAAAGAGCAGATTTCAGAAAGGCAGAATATGGTGATTGACATTGCATTTAAATTTTTGAACACCGTAGGTGGCAGAGAAGCATGAAACCGGAAGAGAGATCTATATGCCAGAAAAGGAACTATTAGAATAGAACCTACGGTTGCATTTAGCTTGTTCAACAGTAAAATGGCGAGACCTTGTTTCAGATTTAATAGTACGCTCAAATTCGTGCAGTCGAGGCACTAATGAATAAAGCTTATCAAAACAATGGCGGCAAAAATATAGCAAAGAGAGAGAGCAGGTACGATATAGCGGTGGGAAACCCAGGAGTCAAGCCCTAAAGGGCCTTGCTTTTTGCCCGGTTGAATATGAAATGTGTTTTCCATCCTGCGTTTTTGAAATACAGATGGAGTGTTACTGTATTCGCTTACAGCTCGCTGATATTTTTTTCTCCAATTAAACCAAGCCGTATCTTGAATATGTGCTGCTTTGGTAAATAAAGAACCTGTTATTCTCTGGGTAGAAAAATGAAGGCAAGACTCTTTATAAATAATAAGATACAAAATCGTTAGTAAGGGAGTTTCTAGCAGATCCTCCATAGTCAGTATATTTAGCGTCAACACATTTTCCCTTGTCACAAGAACTAGATTATATCATTGTCAATGAACATTCGGAAACAAAGGATCAACTGAAAAGAGCCTTTCAATCTTTTTATATCATGGCAAATAGAGATTCATTTAAAGTGGAGTAGATAATTTGCCACCCAGTTGGGCTTCTCTCGTCAAGCATGAAATTGATTACATTTTCTTAAGAAAAGAAATTTAAATAAATATAACTTACATTTGTTTTATAGCTTCTTTGGTAAACGTATTTACTTTTTAACACATTATTGAAATTTGTAAATTCGCCAATCGGAACTGTGTACTGATAAACGATTTATCAGAAAACATTTAAGAATAATAAAACAGACATTTCAGAACCTGAATCGAGCAAGAAGGTATTGTAAAGGGATATATCCCGGAAAGGGATATATTTGTTCGAAGTAGCAAAGTGGTTTTAAACTACTGTAACCGAGTAGAACAATCTAGCAGGTAACCGTAATAGACTGGTCCTCGTCGTAGTGGTAGGCAATAGGCGTAGCCAATGGGTGTCCTCTTCTACTACCACATCAGTCTGTATTCATGGCTGACACCAGCCAATCATATTATTATGAGAGGGAAACCAGGTGTATGCATATTCATTACACCATAAAGAAAGATCAGATTCGAAAAGAAACTGACCTTAAAATTTTAAGCTAGCTGCCATTTTGGATACAAAACGAAAATAAGAGTTACTCCCCTTGAATCATGAAATCAATGATAATGGCTAGTATAATATACTATTATATATTTTTTAACGCCAGATGATCTGGCAAACCTGATTCTGAGCTGAACGAAAAGTTTTCTCTGCGTCTAACATTCTTAGTGCTATGAGCTATGAATCATTGAAATCAGACCAGTAGGAGTGGAGGAGTTGTTTGAACACACACACACACAAACAAATATACACACATACATTGTATTTATATATATGATGATATAAAAGGCTTGGTGAACGACGAATATTGAAAATGAGGTAAGACTAATGAGAAGATTCGAAGGAGAATATGAACTAAAATGAAGCATATGCTAACAGTCTAGAAGAGTGTTATAGTGGAACAACCTAACACCCCCCAACTGTGATTGGTCAGTCTAGAAGAGACGTGACTGGGATAATAAAAGACGTGACGAACTATTGGAGTAGAAGCGTATGAAGGACAACTACGATCTCCGTGACGTATCTCCCGTTTTACTGATATGTTATATTTACGAACTCTTACTCAATGTACTTCCCATACAATAAAACCTTGTTATTGTTTTACCTAATTCCTGTGTTAGTATAATCTTTCAACTCTGGATTACCTGGTTGATTATATCGTATTATCCACGATATAACAAATAGACAATTCTGCTACATATAATGAGGAAAGAATGTTTAGCGAGTTTAACACACGCAGGAAACACCGACAGCTTAGGAAAGAAAGTATAATTTTGTTCAAATTAATGGTGAGTCAATTAGTATAATGCGCAAAAATAAAAAAAAAGTCAATGTCCAGATTAATATTAGAAGCTGTGGAGACTAATGTTCGCACATGTCATTAACGGATATGTGAAAGAGAGAGAAAGACAGATACAGAGTGAAGAGAGAAAGAAACGATTCCAAAGGATGACGGCAACTATTGTTTATGTCTCTGGTTTCTTTACATGTTATATGCAGCAGGCCGAAGAATATAATATGTAAAACTAGTCAACAGAAGGAAAGTAAAGAAATAAAGGCACAATCGTAAAAAAAAAAAGAAAAGATTTATCAAATATAGGATCCTATCAAGGATGAAATATCTCCGAGTGAGCAAATTAACTTGTGACTCTATCGCCACCATTGCAATTCAGCTTTGGGGAGATGGAACTTAGCGCGAACATACGTGACACACCGAATATATAACTGCTTATTCTCATGAATAAATTCTGGTTTCGTATGACGATATGTTGGTGTTAAGAAAACTACAGTAGTTGTACTTCGATTGGAAATACAGATAAATTTCTCTTAGGTTCTGTTCTACCGCATTATTACGGTATTGCTTCGATCTGTCGTATATCACTCCTTTAGGAAACGTCTGAATACAGCAAGAACAGCAAGCTTTTTTTCCCGACACGAGTAAACAGAATGAAAATATATACATTCATCTAATTGCTCTGAGGCGAAGATCTAATATATCTCTGTCTTATTTTACTGCGCATTTCTTGGTTCATTTTTTTATCTATTTTCACAAGGTCGCTCCCAATAATTTGGTTTTTCTGTTAACACATGCATATATATATATATATATATATATATATATATATATATATATATATATATATATATATATATAATATATATATATATATATATATATATATATATATATATATATATATATATATATATATATATATATATATATATATATATATATTAATATATATATATATATATATATATATATATATATAGAATATATATATATATATATATATATATATATATATATATATATATATTAGTGAATATATAAATATATATATATATATATATATTAGTGAATATATATATATATATATATATATATATATATAGTGAATATATATAAATATATATATATGTATATATTAGTGAATATATATATATATATATATATATATAAATATAATATAATATATATAAATATATATATATATATATATATTAGTGAATATATATATATATATATATATATATATTAGTGAATATATATAAATATATATATATGTATATATTAGTGAATATATATATATATATATATATATATATA